CCCTCCTTTTCTCTGAGTCATGTCCCTCAGATCTACAACCATGGATTTCAAAGGATGGGAGCCTGCCTGTTCCCCTCACCCCAGCCCTGCAGCCCCCTCGTGGGTTAAATCCTGTTTCTCTCTGTGGGCTTCAGCTTCCCCTTGGCTCCCTGACTCTTGGACAGGGTTCTTGGGGCAGAGATTTGCCACCCAAAGCCCAGTGCTCTCACGACCGAGTGCAAAGGTACTAGGAGCTTCCTCAGAACACAGCTGGAGCCCCCTGGGTGTCCGCAGTCAGATTTAAGCCACGCAGCCCTGCACGTCCATGACAGGCCCTCCGTCTGCTGTCTTTCCTCAGGAGCAGGACATCGAGACTTTGCATGGCTCCATCCACGTCACGCTGTGCGGGACCCCCAAGGGAAGCCGGCCTGTCATCCTCACCTACCACGACATTGGCATGAACCGTAAGTTCCAGGGACCCATGGTTTTCTAGTGAGCCTGCTCCTGCCGAGGGGTGGAGGAAGACGGCTGGGAAGGGCTGGTGGCGGGGAGCCCAGCTGCTTCAGTCTTGCTGGGACTTCCTGGAGCTGTTCTGGGAAGAACTCTTGCCACAGAGTCTGGAATGCTCTGCACAGGGGCACGGAGTTGCTTGTGTGCCTGGAGCTGCTGGGAACTCAGGGAGCCCCCCACTGCCCGTCTGTATGACAGTAACTTCTAATGAATGAGTACAATGCTTTTTAGTGTTTGCGGAGTTGTGCAACCATCATCACAATCAATTTTGGCACATTATTACTCTGGAAAAAAACCCAACCCTGTTCTCTTACCTGTCACCTCCAATTTTTTATACACCCCCAGGCTCTGGAAACCCCTAGTCTACTTTCTGTCTCTAAGGATCTGCCTGTTCTGGACATCTTATTGTAATGGTGTTGCCAAGGTTCGTCCGCACTGTAGCACGTATCAGGACCTCATTCCCTTTTGCCGAATGATCTTCCATTGTACACAGACCAGATTTTGTTATCCTTTCTGTAGTCTATGGACATTTGGATTGCTGCCACTTCTTGGCTCTTCTGAACACGGCAGTGAATGTTTAGACTGAATTCCTAAGATGACCACAAAGTGTTACCAATGTGAGCTCCCCATTTTTCACAGATGGGGACGGAATAAGAGCTACTTCGTGTTAAAATGGTTCAGAGTAGAGGTGAATATTCCTGTGATGACTCAGAAGGCACTTATAGGCCTTCCTGCTCCAGGAATCTCTGTAAACTTGAACATGGCAAGTGGGGTGCTTGCTTGATTTTTGATTGACAGACTGCCTGATTTACATTTTTTAAATTAATACCCTTGAGGCTGAAGATGAAGTCATTCACTGAAAACCATTTATTTTCCTCACTCTCACATCTCTTATCTCACTTCCTCCCTATGCGTCTCCCTGTGTCCATTATATGTCAGATCCCGTGCTAGGTACTTTGGTAGAGATCACTTTAGTTCACTGGGCCCTGGTGAGGAAATGGAATTGCATGTGGAGGTGATGTGCCCCAGTTTTAGAGAGGCTCATTGTTAGTTACAGCAAGCTAACCACTGTAACAAAAGACCCAGAACCTTTGTGGCTTCACACAATATACGTTATTTCTCACTCATTTAACAACTCAGTGGGCATTCTGTATGGCACCTTCCACATGGTGATTCAGGGACCCAGGCTCCTTCCCACTGTGGCTCTGCCATCCCCTGGAGCCTGTCATCCCCTGGAGCCTCAGAGGCTTCTGCTGGTTCCTCTGTCTCTGGCAGGTGGATGAAGGGAGAGAAACCTGGAGAATTGAGTAGCAGGTGTTATGAGGGAGTGGCAAGCATCGAAAGCTATTGACTAGAACCCAATCACATGACTGCCTCTAATTACAAGAGAGGCTGGGAAATGTAGTTCAGCTGTGTGCCCAGGAAGAAAAGAGAAACGGCTTGGTGACCTGCTGGCCATCTTTGCTTCAGGCTCTCAACAATTAGAGCCTCTCGACTCATCCATGGCCATATAAGGAGAGAGAGGTCCATGCTTTATCTCCTATGCTCCTCCTTGTTTGAAAATCTCTGGCCAGTATCCCTGATATTAGGGTTTAGGCGACCCAGGGAGAAAGAGAGTGTCGGTGGAGTAACCCCACCTCATATCAAGGCCATGATGGCCAGGAATGACTGGGAAGGAAGCAGGAGACCCCTTCGTCCACCAGCCCTACAGTGGCTCTTAGGGACCGTCTCCACCTCCGCACCCACTCCTTTCTCTTGCCTTTTTATCAGCAGAGGAAAGTGGGACAGGAGAATAAAAGGTAGGCGTTCTTACTTGTGAGTTTGTTTCCTTCTGCTGAATAGGAGAGAAACAAAATGAACACACTTTGCATGGAGCAAACTAGTTCAGTCCATCCTCACTTCTGCCCCTCTTCTCTCTCCTGCCTGATTTCCAGACAAAACCTGCTACAACCCCCTCTTCAACTCCGAGGACATGCAGGAGATCACCCAGCACTTTGCCGTCTGCCACGTGGACGCCCCTGGGCAGCAGGATGGTGCTGCATCCTTCCCCGTGGGGTAAGAGAGGAGCCTTGAACCCCAGGAGGGGGTAGAAAGCCTCGCAGGGTGGAAACAGGTGGCGGGGGGAAGCTTTAGACTGGCTTTTAATTTTTTTATTGCTGTAAAATATACTCTTCTTCTAAGCCAAGTCTCTGATATAACCCCTCAGCCTCCACGATACGTATAATCTTTATATGGGAAGAGATCATAGCAACCTCATGGAGTTATTGCAAGGATTAAATGAGTTTATACTGCTCCTCAGATGCTTGGGGTGGGACCTGGAACACAGGAAGCAGTTGGTAAAGGCTTATTTTACAAAGAGGGGGGAGGAGAATTAGGGTGGAGACGTCTTTGCTTAACACAAAAGGCTGTGTATGCTGAGGGGTACTTGCAATGAGGGGGCCACAGGGGGTGCAATGGGGAGTCCGGGCCCTGCTCCTGTTGGCATCGTTCATTGCCCCCGGGTCCGGGCTCACTGACTCCTCTGCTTGGCTTCTCCCAAGGTACATGTACCCCTCCATGGACCAACTGGCCGAGATGCTGCCCGGAGTCCTTCACCAGTTTGGGTAAGGGAGAAGGGTCCGCTCCCTGACCAGCCTGCAGGGAGGGGTGACTTCTAGCCTCTGCCTCTCCTTGGGCCTCAGTCTGTCCTGACATTGCGGCTGCAGTTTAAAGCTCAGGGAAGAAACTCGCCTGGCTCACGTGTCCCCACTGTTTTCACACTCTCTTCCTTCCTGTCTGCTTCCTGCGAGTTGGGCTTTTCTCCCTGAGTGATGGCATCACCTGATGACAGCCACCCCCATCCTTTCCTGCTTTCTCTTCTTTCATTGCCTTCTCTTTCCGATGGAATGTTCTGGAACAGGATTGCCTGAGCCTTCACCTGCTCTATCAGGGCCCTTGGCCCTCCAGTGCTCATTTCCTTCTTACTTGAGCCTTTGGTCCGATGATGATACCTCAGACTTCTTGCCCAGTTTATTTTCATGCCAAGTTTTAGAATCCAAAATAAAGCTCAGGAGCGGGAAGAAGCAGGAATAGGGCTTCCCGTAAATGTCAGGCGGTGTCTGGGAGCCCGGCTGCCGTCAGGAGAGCAGCGAGGAAAAGGGACGCGTCCCTGCAAGGTCACAGCCCCCTGTTAATCCATAAAGAGTGATGCATTTCGGGTCGCGAGGGCACAGCACAACAGCGTGTCCCCGCTTTGTCTCGCCTGCTAGCCATCCTCAGTGACGACCAGGACAGACAGTGGGGGAGGCGGGGTTCCCTAGGGACAAGGAGCGGGAGGATGAGAGGGTGGTCAGGGCTCCCAGGGCTCCCTTCTCCTGTGACATGAGTTTACTTCTGCTTTCAGGGTGAAAAGCGTCATTGGCATGGGAACTGGGGCTGGCGCCTACATCCTCACTCGGTTTGCTGTGAGTTCTTGGGCATTTTAAAAAGATGATGTTTTTAAATAAAATTAATTCAAGGTGAAGGAAGGAAATTGGTAAAGCATCAAAAATCCCAAAAGGGAAAAAGAAATGACCCATCATTCCATTTCCCGAGGGAGAAGCACAGCTCGCATTGTGGGGTGTGTGTGTCACTTACATACTCTCAGCTTTTCCCTTCCCTGCACTGAAATGCCATCCTAGATGTCTTCTTTCATCATTGGCTTTGCTCACTTAGCAGGAGACTGTGGACAGGTCCCCCCATCACCACCTATTCTACTCCGCTGCTTCTTGTGGTAGCTTCTGGAGTCGGGGGACTCTTGGCTCCTGACTAACTCTAAACTAGAACCAGAGATACCTGTGTTAACATGACAGTTGTCACTTACATTACTGCAGGCCCAAGTCGCTGGCTACTGGGTCCTTTGTGTCCTCACCGAACACTTGATGAAAAATGCAACAATACTCATTTTATTCAACCATATGTATTCTGACAGCCTATTGTTTGCTGGGCTTTGCTGGAGGTCAGAAATGCTGACATGAATGCAAAGTGGTCTGGCCATCTAGGCACCGAGCAGATAAAAGGTCTAAATGGTATCACCTATATACAGTGTGTCCCCCAAAATTTATACACACTTTGAATAATTATAAAAGCAGTGTGTATTAAATTCATTTCATTTTCAAGCTGTAATAGATTTTACTGTTAAAGTGTGTATGCATTTTTTGGGACACCCTGTTAAGAGATATATATATATATATATATATATATCTCCTAGAAGTAGTAGAATTCGTTCTGATTACTAAAGAGCATTTATGTGCCTGATTATGAGGTTGGTGGTGTGATATACCCATTTCACAGCTGGGACAGCTGAGGGGCAGCGAGGGGAAGTGAGCTGTCCATGGCAGGTCCGCCAAGCACATGTGCTTCTGCTTCCTCTTTCCACTCCCTCTGGGACCCCGATCCAGTGTTTCTGGAGCTAGGAACTCCGTTTGCATGGGGCGGGGGCCATAGACTCTTGAGAGCAGCAACCTGTTCTGTGGCCCACATGAGCCCTTTCCTGGTCCTTTTCTCCATCTTGGTTTGACTTTAAAGTTCGTAGTATCTCAGATTCCTGGGTTGCGTCTCTCACCTTGTGTCTGAATTGCAGCTGAACAACCCCGAGATGGTGGAGGGCCTGGTCCTCATCAACGTGAACCCTTGTGCGGAAGGCTGGATGGACTGGGCAGCCTCCAAGGTGAGCCTGGGCCCTGGGCTGGCGGGTCCCAAAATGCAGGGGGCAGGTGCCCTCACCTCTGCCCGGAGGAGCAATGTAACTAAGAGCCCTCCTAGTCACACCCTTTGACCACCCCCTAATGCCCACCCCCAGCCAAGAGAGCAGGTTTCCTCTGCTTTGCGTAGAATAGTAAGCATGGCCTCAGATATTTGCCATGGGGACATCAGTAGGACACTGTGGTGTAAGCCAGCAGGCGCCCCGAGCCAGCTTTGACAAACATCCTCTGGGTTGGAGTATTTGCTGGGAACCTAACATCTGCTGGGCTTTTCTCAAGATGCTGAGAATAAAAAGATGAACAAGACACATGCCTCTAATTCCAGGAACCCACCGATTATTAATGAAAAGGAAATATGCATTTAGTACTGACTTTATGTCACTTAGTTTTAACACAGTAATAATTAGCTAACGTGTGTTGCATGGTTACCTGGTGTTTTTTAAATTCTCCTTTGCTGTGTATGCATGACAATACATGTTCAATCCTCATGGGACCTCCCAGAGGTAGGGTTGCCATACCGTTTACAGAGGGGAAACTGAGGCTCTCAGTGGTTAGGGAAGCTGTCCAGGGTCACACAAAGCCAGGCAGAAAGAGAACTGGGGCTGAATGTGGAGCCCTTGGGCCCACAGTCCTTGGGCCTCCCCTCTGTGCTGGGCTCACGCTCTCATTCAGCAGGCGTCAAAGGCCCACCTCGACCCAAGCGCCACCAGGCTGGGCATAGAAGGGGCAGGACACGTCCCTTCCTGGAGCACAAGGGGCCCACATTGTCTCAGGAAGCTCTGCTCTGGCTGGTGGCCTAGGGTTCCTTGTTTATTTAAAAATGATTATTGTTTTTTTCATAAAAACCCCCTATATTTGCCAAAAAGATGGGGAAACCGTTCCAAATGAAACAGGATAAAGCATTTCAAGCCGGGGTGATCCTGGCTTCTCATCTTGAAAGTGTATTTTTCCAAGGTTGGGGAGGTTGTCGGGGAGCATAGGATTAAAAGGGTCATGCCCCCCCGCCCATGTCCAGGCCAGCCAGTCTGATACTGCATTTCTTCCTGGAACACTCTGCCAGGAGGCCAGAGCCCTCCCTCCTGCCTGCGTGACATTCGGGAGTGGAACACACTCCCTGTTTTCTATTTTATTTTCCAGCAAAGGAAGTGACATTCCACTTAGCCAGTTTGGCTTCTCAGTAGCTCTTTTGAGCCAGATGTGGAGGGCTGGGGACATTACCCATCGGCTACGTGGAGCCTGAGGAATGTGTGTGGGGCTTTAATATCTGCACCATTTCCTTCCTTTTCAACCCCAGCCCCAGAGAAAAAAGACCTACATCAAGGGCCTACTGTGTGTCAGGCACTGGGGTCATATCCTGTTACATGTGTAGTTGCTCCCATAATCCTCATCGTGACCTGGGACTTTGAAGTTCCTGACAGTCCCAGCTACGGATGAGCAGTCTGAGGTCCAGCAGCTTTGCAGCCTGCCCTGGGCCACACAGCTGGGGACCCCCAGCAGTCAGCACACATTTATGGAACTGCTGCTTTGTACCTAGTATTTATGGATCCCCTGCTGTATGCCTAGCATTTATGGAGCTCCTGCTGTATGCCTAGCATTTATGGAGCTCCCACATATATCTAGTTTTTTGGAGCTTTTGCTGTATATCTAGCATTTACAGAGCTCCTGCTGTGTACCTAGCCTAGCATTGTTGTTAGAGCTAAAAAGGAGAAGGTCATTCATTTCTATAATAACCTCAGTATATTCAGAGAGAGGAAAGTGGCTTAGGGGACAGTCTAAACTATGATACAGGAAGGATAGTTTGAACTAAGCAGATCCTGAGGTGTAGACTTGGGGAGGTCAGTGTGTGTTTAGAAGTGGATGGGGTCCTTCTTGCTGCTGACTTGGTGCACTCTGGAGCTGGGACAGCTAGGAGCAGGGTGGGTCTCTTCAGCACATCTGTGCCTGCATCTTCTGTGCCCCAGGCTGTGAGGTTAAGCAGCGGATGGGGAGCCAGGCCCTGCCTTCCAGGGGCCACGGGTCTAGTAGGTAACCAGAGACAGGTGACTGAGTTCCCATCGAGGGGGCACCCTCAGACCGAGTACCAGGAACCCCAAGGGCCATGGGGTTGGGCTGACCCCGTCTCACCACTTGAGGATGCCTTCTTAATCCCACCTGGTTTGTTCTCCCCAGATCTCCGGGTGGACCCAAGCCCTTCCAGACATGGTGGTGTCCCACCTCTTTGGGAAGGTGAGTAGCGTGGCCTGCATTGGTTGTTCACTCCCNCATGGTGGTGTCCCACCTCTTTGGGAAGGTGAGTCGCGTGGCCTGCATCGGTTGTTCACTCCGAGTGATTGTGTGCTGCCGGCATGTAGGGCCTAGAAACAAACAAGACACAGCGAGTGGGCACTGCGAGCTGATGCCACCAAACAGGGTGATGTCATTCATATCCACCAAGTCACTCACTCTCTCTCTTTACAACATAAGTCTTTTTAACCATTTGATTGAAGTGCAATAAGGGGCACATATTGAAAGTGTAGAACCTGACAAGTTTTGATGGGGTCTGAGATACCCCTCAGTGGCCCAGCACGAGGAGACTTGCTCCGTTTCCTGTGGGTGGTCCACTCACCACTGCTGGCTCCTGAGCTAGAAAGTGTGACCATGTGAGGTGTGACCATGTGAGGTGTGACCATATGATACCTTGGGGCAGCAGATGCTCTGCAGTGGGGTTGGTGAGCCTGGCCCTTGCCACTCCTGGGGTTAGTTTCCTGTGGCTGCAGGAACGAACTACCACACTGGATGGCTGTATTTGTCCCTGAGTGTTGGCCTGGCCTCGGTCCCCACAAAGGCTCCAGGGACCCCCCTCCTGGCTTCTTCCAGCCTGTGGTTGCTTTGGCAGTCCTGGGTTGTGGCCCTGACTTCAGTCCCAGCCTCCATCCCTCCATGGCCTTCCCTTTGTCGGTTTCAAATCTCCTGCCTTTTTCTAAGGACACTTATCATTGGATTTAGGACATATTCCCTCCACCAGGGATAATCCAGGATGGTGTCATCTCAGGATCCTTCACTTAATTACATCCACAAAGACCTTTTCTCCGAAGAAGTTCATACCGCAGGGTCCCGGGATTTGGTGTGGATGTCTTGGGGGCCGCCATTCACTCCACTGTCGCCTCTTTCCTCGTTAGCTGCCTTCCGCAGTCTGTGATCTGCGTTCTCCACCTGACTCTAATCTGAACTGACAGGAATGTGGAAAAACCAGAGCCGGCGGCTGCCTCTCCTTGCAGGAGGGCTGTCAAGTGTGGGGTGAGAGTGTCAAATGTAGGGTGAGAGTCTGGCCTGATTGTATCTTTAATTACTTGGGGTATCTGGGTACCCAGAAGTTTCTGCAGTTATGTTTTCATCTGAACCCCCAGCACAATCCCTCAGACCGTGTTCACCAGATTTTTCTTTGAACAGCCAGTTGGCCTCTTTGTTGCTTAAGTGCTCATGGGCTGTTTTGACAACAGCTTGGGCTTGACGTCGGCCCCCTTGCTTCCTCCCACTCGGGCTCTGGTCGCCTCTGATCACATCAGGCCGTCTGCTGTTGTACAAATGAGAAGCAGCCAGCAAAATCGCACTCAGAAAGGGACCAGGGAGGGGACAGGCCGCAGCCAGCCTCTGCAAGACTTTGGCTGACCCCGCGGAAATCAAGATTGTCCTTTCTGGCCCTGTCTGTGTGGCTCAGTGGTTAGAGCACTGGCCTACGCACCCAAGGGTCATGGGTTTGATTCCTGGTCAAGGGCATGTACCTGGGTTCCTTCCCCAGTCTGGGCCCAGGTGTGTGCGGGAGGCAACCAGTCGTGGTCTCTCTCACATTGATGTTTTTCTCTCTCTCTCTTTCCCCCTCTCTCCCTTCCACCCTCAAAAAATCAATGGAAAAAATATCCTCGGGTGAAGGTTAATAACAACAAAAAGAGGGTCCTTTCCAGCAACTTCCCATTGCCTGAGTTAATTTTGTTTTGCAAGCATGAAAATCTTCATCTCTCCCCATTAAAAAATACTTGTTAATAGTTGCATTGATTGTTCTAATTACAAAGAGCTTTTCAAAGTGCACAACCTCTGTTTAACCCACAGCCTAAGGAAGTGGGTGATGTTAACACCCTCCCGCCTTTCTTTGAGGGCACTGAGGCTCAGGAGGGGAAGGCATTTTCCCAAGAAAGGGATGGTGATGGAGCTGTGAGGAAGGAAGAAACTCTTCTACTCTCAAGGTTCTTTTGGCTAATCTAATAATCAAATAGACATGAGACACGTTAGCAAGAGAAAATGACCAAATTTAACTATATACCTATGTATGGGAACCCCTCATACACGGGGGACCAGAGAGAGAAAGGGAAATTGAGGTATATTTGACACTGAGCTAGGGATGCGGTCGTGCACTTTGAGGCTTCATAGGGTCACTGCAGGGAGAGCACATGTTCAGTAATTAGTAGTTTGCCTACAGCACAGGTAGGTAAAGTCACTTCCGGTGATAATTCTTACATTGGGCCAAACTATTGATTTTAATTCTTCTAGAAATTTAAGCTAGGGGAGGGGGAGCAGCCGAAGTTGCTTTCAAGCTCCCACAGTCTTGGTTGCTCAAAATAACTTGCACCCCACCGAGGCACATCTTGGGGTGGCTTGTTCTGAACCCCTACAGAGTCAAGCTCTAGATCCAGGAGGACTGACTTCAAATCCAAACTCCAGGCCTGAGCCCGAGGGCCTGCTTTGCCTGGCTAGGGCTGTGCTCCTTTACCCTACCTGCTGGTGTTCGGGCGTCTGCCTGCGTCTGGGTGTGGGTCTGCTGCCCTGAAAGCTTCTGTAGGCTCCAGTGCGGCCTTGGTCTCCTGCCTCAGGCATCATTGCCTTCCCTGTGTACCTGAATAACCTGGAGAGTGGAGAGGCCTGGGACTAGCCCAAGGCCACAGTGTCAATGAAAGACGTTTCTCCCTCTACTGCAGGAGGAAATGCAGAGCAACGTGGAGGTTGTCCACACCTACCGCCAGCACATCATTAACGACATGAACCCTGGCAACCTGCACCTGTTCATCAACGCCTACAACAGGTATGGGCGCCGCGGCCACAGCACGGCCTTTTATATCGGGCTCTTTTCGTGGGTCTGGAACATGGGGTGAGGCAGAGGGGGATTGCGACATGAGCAGTAGAGGCAGCTCCCGAATTTGAGCAGACAGATTATTAGTACGGAGTATCCTTAGTAAGGTGTCTCCTGGAGTTTTGAGCACTTTGCAAGGAGCTGAGCTACCACTCCAGATCCCGGGGATACAAATAGAGTGGGACAGTCATGCCCTCAAAGGGTTGGAAGTATGTACCTGTGTCCATGGTGACCATGGGAAAGGACAGATGTGAGGACTGCTTAGAGAGAGAAAAGCAAAGCACTTGGGGGGGGCGGGGGGTCCAGAGAGGCTGCTGGGTGGTGGCTGAGTCATTCCCAGGGTAAGTAACACCTGCACACAGCCTTTGGCAAGGGTGCAACCCTCTTATCCATAACTGAGTGCCTGTCTGGAGCTCACCTAGGGGAGGGGACAGCTTGGGGTGCCAGCCAGAAGCCTGGAATCCCCAGGGAACTCACTCAACCTGCCCCACCAGCTCTGCCCTGCTCCCATGGGGCCAGAAATGAGCTCATGGGCTCTGTCTTTCTGTCCTCTCCTGTTACTAACATGACTTCATGATGGGCACTAGTGTCTGTGAGGAAGTCCAGTGTCCGTTTCCTCTTACCATCCTCCCAGCTGCTCAGCGTGGGAGGGAAGGGTGCTACCCCCAGGGGGTAAGTGAGGACACGGGCTGAGCAGTTCATTTATTCAGCAACTGCTTTCTGAGACTAGAGTGGGTCAGGCTGTTGGCTGGGCCGTGGGCACCCGCAGGGGACCATGGAGAGCATAGGACTTGGAGTTGGGTGTGAGAGTCAGGCTCAGACTAAGGGTGGAAGCAGAGACTATTTGGGGGGCTAGCCATTGGCCAGGTGGGGGCTCTGGGAAGGTAGGGACCTTCTTTGGCAGAGGACATGATTTGTATTCCTGTAAAAAGAAAAAAACACATTGGAGACCATGTGGTGGGCTCCATAGGAAATGACCCTGAAGCCACTTTTATGGACCCCAGGAGGCTGTGGTGTCCTGAAAGCCACGTGACCTCACATAGGCTGACATGTGTGTGGTTTGCCAGAACAGAATGGCCAATGGCAGGACCTGCCTGGGTTTGGCTCAGTGGGAGGAGCTTCCTCTGGGTGGCGGGCCTCCTGGTGTAATTAATGGTGCTTTTGTTGTCTGTAGCCGTCGGGACCTGGAGATTGAGCGACCCATGCCAGGAGTGCACACAGTTACCCTGCAGTGAGTAGCTTTTCTCACCATCACTGTGTAGTTTGCTTGCTGGCAGGGCCTTCTTTCTGCCAGGACATGGTCATCAATTGAGAACTGGATGTGTCCTACCTAGGGAGTAGGCACGAGCCAGTCTCCCTCTTCTCCCTGTGCAGTTCCCAGGGTGGCCCCGAGACCTAGGTTGGAGCCTTGGATCTCAGAGAAGTGCTGACCGCACTTTGAACAGAATTGATTAAGCACCTACTTCACGTTCAATACTACATTGGCTTTGCCTCCCAGAGCCTGGGGCTGAATGAGGCTCAGGACCCACCCTGAAGTGCCCTATTAATCTAGAAGACAGTCTTGGGAATAAGCAGCTGTATTCCACCAATATGAACTAGGTGTCATTTTATAGTTCCTTGAGTGAACCACATTATCAGACACCTGAACGTGGCACGTGCCATCTTCTTTGTCAGCCATGTCCTTTTTGTCTCTGATCTTGATTGCTGACCAAGTCCTACTCATCCTTCCTTGAGGACAGGGTGTTTAAAATAAAAACGTCAGGCATAGAAATTCTCTGGTGAAATTCATACTAAGGTGTAAATGACTTACCAGCCTAGTTATTCTAAGAACAAAGCAGAGGGTGGAGGGAGGATGAAGGAAAATGAGCAAAGGGTAGTGGGGAAACCAAAATAATTTTTTTAGAACCTTGGCAGGCTTGGGAATGTGAGAATCTTTAAATGAACCCTGTGCTAATTCCCCCTTTTCTCCCTGCCCCCAGGTGTCCTGTTTTGTTGGTGGTTGGGGACAGTTCTCCTGCTGTGGATGCTGTGGTATGTAGAAATCAACCACGGGTTATGTGTTTAACTCAGCAGTCCAAATCCGATTGGCTTTGTATAAAGTTTCCCTGTCCACCTCCTTCCTTTCCTCTGCCCCCATCAGGGCAGGTGACATCTTCTAAATGCCATGCTGGCCTTTGGGCAGAGGGCCCAGCCACCAGCCTCTTTCCCTGGTGACTGTCAGCCCTGATTGCTTGGCAGTGGGCGCTCTGTCTCCTCTCCTAGGCCCCCTCACCCGCCCATCTGCCTCCCATTGGCTTGTTTCTATGAGCGTGTTTTCCACTTGGCTTCCTGGCCAAGAGACTTTCCTCCCATTTGGGAGACCTGGTTGGTGCCTCATTGTCTGGCAGGAAAAGAGGCATCTGGGGAGCTGGGCTTAAGCAAGGTTTTCTGGCTCATTTCACCCTTTAATTCCTACCTGTAGTGTTGTGGAGACAAAGCAAGGACTCTACCTTTCCAACATCCGCATAGCTGGGGACATGGGAGACTTAGGGGCTATGAAGCAGAGTCCTACAGTGGTGACATGCCTTGTGCAGTGGGCTGCAGAGCAGGATCCTCAGTCATTCATTTCATAATGACCTGGGTGTCTCCATGAATCATGACTTTGTTATCATCTAACCCACTGGACATGATCATGGGATGCATCAATAGAGATACATTGTTCACATCGAGGTAGATGATAGTTCTACCATGGGAACTTTGAACATCACAGGTTACAAGTCGGTATTCTGCGCAGTTCTGGGTGTACTCTTAAGAGCATCATTGACATTGAAGAGAGAAACTAGCTTGGTGGAGGTGATCTCATTTGAAGAATGGTGGTTGGGACTGGGGACTGAGACTCACTGGCCTCAGGGAGTTAAACAAGGCCACTTATTTGGTGAATATTTCTAGAGCACCTTCTATATTTTAGGTAGTCTTCATAACAATCCCTTAAAATAGGTTAACCTCATTTTATTGATGAAGAAACTGAGGCTCAAAGAAGTTAAGTAACCTGTCTGAGGTCACACAGCTGGGAATGGCAGGGCTGGAATAGAAACCGCATCTGTTTAATCCCAAAGCCCACATTCTTTCTTCTATGCCAGGGGAATATAGGAGCCTCTGATGATGGTGGCAGGGAACGGGGAAAGGCTATGACTTTGGCTCCAGGTAGAAAACTGACAAATTTCTCCTCGCTTTCCTTGTCTAGGTGGAGTGCAACTCAAAATTGGACCCAACGAAGACCACTCTCCTCAAGGTACAGGAAAAGCTATGAGAGTTTGCACTTGTTCTTAGAAACTCTTAACTTTTCTGCAAAAATTGAGTTGTGCCTGGTTTAGGCAGAGCTGGTGGTCAGAAATTATAGAAATAATTATTTGAAATATCTGTTCACAAGCATCTATTGGGTGCTGGCTGGTAAGATGAGAGGTAAGATGAGAGGATCCCTCTGTGGGACCCCAGGGGTCTACAGGCTGCAGCCTGTCACCCTTGGGGTCTGACCTTGAGACTGGGCTGTAGGGTGGCCCAGCGTCAGCCACCCTCATGCCTTCTGGTCTGTTTCCCCTGAAGCCATCCTCACCCTGCTGCCAAGTGCTCCTGAGCCAGGGCCCCATTCATTTACTCCTGGGTAAATGCGCCCACATGCCTGGAGCAGCTTTCATAAGTGCCAATGGCTTTAGGTTTGGTGTTTTAGTAGCAACTTGGGAAGTGAACACATTTCCCAGGGGTAGCCCATCAGGAGCCCTGTGAGGCCTGAGGTCTCCAGGCTGGCAGTTTCCTCCTGAGGGAGTTTGTACAGGACATGTGTGCCCAGGGCCTTGTGCAGTTCCTCCAGCTCTGTCTGGCTCCCAGCTGCTGCCTCTCAGAAGGTACAGTCTACCTTCCAGGGTTCTCAGGGAACAGAGTAAAACTGTTGACAGGGCCTAGCAGAGTGCTTGGCATATCAAAAGGTACAAGTCACGGTGGCTAAGACACAGCACAATGCTGAGGCAGATAGTAATGAAAACAGCCTTGCCAGGTGGCGCTGGGCATTTCCCACCTGTAATGTGCCCAGCCCCCCTCAGCAGGCAGGTAGTGGGCAGGGTGGGTGTCCATTTGGAGCTGGTTCACAGAGCAAGAGGTCACATCCACTGAGGTTTTTGGCACTAACCAGCTTCTTTCTCTTCCAGATGGCGGACTGTGGTGGCCTCCCGCAGATCTCCCAGGTGAGTTCTACCTGTCACCGCTCCCCAGGTGGAGGCATGTGCCCCTGAGACCTGTTACTGCCTTTCCCCTCACTGCCTGCTCGTCCCCCACCTCCCCACGACTTCTGATGAACCTGTTACCATTTATAAACTGTGCTTGTACATGAGTACTCATTTCCCCCGGAACCCCCTGCGGAGTAGATGACACTGGGGTCCACGGGGGTGAGGGGGTCTGTCCAGTGGACACAGCTTGGCAATTGTAGACCAGAATCTAGGCCTGCCCAACCCCAGAGACCACAGGATTTCCATGTGCTGCTAGAAGGAGTTTCTCCGTGTACACGGGGTCAGTTCTTTGATTCATGTGGCCCTTCCAATTTCAAGGGTTGTCTGATAGAAAAGGGAGAGTCTTAGCTCTGAGTCCCCCAGTGAGAAGATGATGGCTCTGATGTCCATTGAGGTGCAGAATAAAATCTTAGGTGGAGCTGTCCCAACAGGAAACAGTCTTAGTGTGGGGTAGGGAAGTATTTCATGGGCGTCTGAGAGGAGGCCGAGTGGCGCTCGGGGCAGTCCCAGCAGAATTCTGCACCAGGCAGACACTGGATCTGGGCTCATTGCTCTGTCCCATCTCACGGTGGCATTTTACTCCAGAACTCTGCACAGAAGCGTGGGCACAATGGCATTAGGAGGCTCTCTTAGACTTTCTGTGCCTGTTTCCTCTGCTCCCACTAGACAAGAGCAAAGATACTTTCAACATTTTAGCTGTTGCATGTTTTGCCCACTTGATAGGGAACAGGTGGGCTCCCGGTAGAGCCCCGCCCAGGTGCGATCGTGAGAGAAGGCCTGTGCCTCAGTGATGGAGCCATTGCCCCTCCACCTGACCCGAGCCGCCTGCTGAGCACCCCCCAGGGGGGCCCAACCTGGGCCCAGACTCCTGCTTCCCTCGACCAGGTTGAGACCTCCCTGGCTCTCTGCAGCCCCAACCTGCAGCTCCTGACAGTTTCTTACCATTGTCACAGGAGCCCCAGAGGGCAGTGTGATCAGTCTCTCTTTTGAATGTCTTTGGCTCTTTGTAGAATCATGGCAGGAGTTGGTGAAGGTGGGCAGAAACCGATTACTTCTGCCCGAAGTGAGATTCCCAAAAGCAGAACAGATCCAGCGAAGTGCATTGGGAAGTTGGGGTTAATTAGACTGTAAATGTGACCTTTACTTATTCATTCATTTCCCAGTTTGTTTGTTTTTTAAATTATAAGAGAACGTTTATTTAAAAAGTTACAGAGGTAATAGAAGGGACCCGCTGGGCTGCTGGGCAGCATAGGCTCAGGAAACAAGCAACAGAGCCAGAAGAGGGGCCCTTGGAGCTTAGGAGAGAGAAAGCAAAGGCGTGCTCCTGGGGGAAGAAGAGGGAGGGAAAGGCCCAGGCGTGCTCCCGAGAGGCAGAGCATGCCCATCTCCCAGTTCTGATTAAATTTAATTTTTGAGAGGAATTGGTAGAACTGGGTGTTTTCTCAGCATTCCCAACTCATTTTACTTAAAGTAACCCAGTTTATTAATTGGTTTATCTGTCCAACTATCCATCCATCTGTACTTTCTTCTTTCCACTGCTTTCTATCCATCCGTCCATCTTTCCTTTTTCCTGTCCTTTCTTGCTTTCTTCCTTCCATCAATATTTTTTCCCTGTCTCTACTATCTACTCTCTATCGATCTCGCTATCTCTCTGTCATCTACCTATCCGCCCTTCGCCCTTTCTCCTCCCAGCCAGCAGGCCTGCTGTGGAGGCTGAGAGCGAATGCCTTGAGAGCATGGAGAGCCCTGTGTTAATCTTCAGGACTCACCGCTAATCAACTGTAGGACCTTGGCCGGAGTGTTTACCTGTCCAAGCCTGTTCAGCTATGAAATGTGCGTGAAAGAGCACTAACCTCATAAGGTCACTGTCGGGAGAAAATGAGGCAGTGCTGCAAAGCCTTTACCCCATGAGGGGCACGTGATGTTGATGCCCTTACTTACGTTCTAGATGTTGGGTAGGACACCCTGGGTCGTCTCATGTAGCCTTCTTTACAGAAACCCTCAGAGGCAGGTGTGGCTCACGGTCCTGATCTTACAGGTGCAGGGACTGGCTCATGCAGGTCACGTCACTTGACCAAGCTCCCGCAGTTGTGAAGCGAATCTGACTTTTTCTCCCCGGCCAAAGCTGATTTCGCTCCCTATAGTTGCCTCATTATGTTTCCTTGCCTTTCATTTATTATCCCACCAACACTTGGTGGCCTTCTCTCTTGGGCCAGGGTCTTTAATGAAGGTGACCACAGGCACAGCTCATGTGGCCATTCATGATCTGGACCCCCTATGACTGATGTCACTGTCCCTTCTTTTTTCTTGCAGCCAGCCAAGCTTGCTGAGGCCTTCAAGTACTTCGTGCAGGGCATGGGATACAGTAAGTAGGGCATTTCCCAGCAGGTGGCGGGCTGAGGGGCAGGTGTGGGAGTTGGGGATGTGATGCCCAAACCAGGTTTGGATGAGAATTCTGTAACACCTGGGCAGGTCAGGGGGAGAAACAATAAGGTGCAGGGAGGGTGTGAGGTCGGGCAGTGTCTCCTTGATGCCATAGTGGCTCATTCTACCTCCATTGCTGAGCAGAAGTTGTTTCACACCAGGGAGTATTTTTAGATTTAGGTGAAGACTATCCTTTTAAGCCCCAAGAAGATAACAAACAATGAAACCATGGAAATCCGGGCATGTGCCCTGACCTGGAATCAAACCGTCAACCTCCTGGTTCATGGGTCGATGCTCAACCAACTGAGCCACACTGGCCCGGGCCTGTGAGATATTCTTATTCTCATTTTACAAGTGACGAAAGCAAGGCTTTAAGGGATTAAGCAAGGAGCAGGGAGGGGATCTGTGAAAGTTCTTTAAAAACTATAATGATCATAATAAGTGGGTGATAAAGTTGCTTATATTAAGGAGAGAGAGCGTCTTTTCTAAACCATTAGACATTAGATTAGGGACTGGAAGGNCTTTACCCCATGAGGGGCACGTGATGTTGATGCCCTTACTTACGTTCTAGATGTTGGGTAGGACACCCTGGGTCGTCTCATGTAGCCTTCTTTACAGAAACCCTCAGAGGCAGGTGTGGCTCACGGTCCTGATCTTACAGGTGCAGGGACTGGCTCATGCAGGTCACGTCACTTGACCAAGCTCCCGCAGTTGTGAAGCGAATCTGACTTTTTCTCCCCGGCCAAAGCTGATTTCGCTCCCTATAGTTGCCTCATTATGTTTCCTTGCCTTTCATTTATTATCCCACCAACACTTGGTGGCCTTCTCTCTTGGGCCAGGGTCTTTAATGAAGGTGACCACAGGCACAGCTCATGTGGCCATTCATGATCTGGACCCCCTATGACTGATGTCACTGTCCCTTCTTTTTTCTTGCAGCCAGCCAAGCTTGCTGAGGCCTTCAAGTACTTCGTGCAGGGCATGGGATACAGTAAGTAGGGCATTTCCCAGCAGGTGGCGGGCTGAGGGGCAGGTGTGGGAGTTGGGGATGTGATGCCCAAACCAGGTTTGGATGAGAATTCTGTAACACCTGGGCAGGTCAGGGGGAGAAACAATAAGGTGCAGGGAGGGTGTGAGGTCGGGCAGTGTCTCCTTGATGCCATAGTGGCTCATTCTACCTCCATTGCTGAGCAGAAGTTGTTTCACACCAGGGAGTATTTTTAGATTTAGGTGAAGACTATCCTTTTAAGCCCCAAGAAGATAACAAACAATGAAACCATGGAAATCCAGGCATGTGCCCTGACCTGGAATCAAACCGTCAACCTCCTGGTTCATGGGTCGATGCTCAACCAACTGAGCCACACTGGCCCGGGCCTGTGAGATATTCTTATTCTCATTTTACAAGTGACGAAAGCAAGGCTTTAAGGGATTAAGCAAGGAGCAGGGAGGGGATCTGTGAAAGTTCTTTAAAAACTATAATGATCATAATAAGTGGGTGATAAAGTTGCTTATATTAAGGAGAGAGAGCGTCTTTTCTAAACCATTAGACATTAGATTAGGGACTGGAAGGATAAGAGCACATAATTCAAGAACGTGCCATGGTTATAGTTTCTTCATCAGACACACGCAGTCCTTTCCAGAANGATAAGAGCACATAATTCAAGAACGTGCCATGGTTATAGTTTCTTCATCACACACACGCAGTCCATTCCAGAAACGCAGTCCATGACCGGACAGCCAAGACCAAGTGTAAGCATTCGACCAGGCGGTGGTGCAGCGCCGCCCGTTGGTGTAGCCACTGAGGCTCTGGCTCTGATGTGGTTTCTCTGGCTCTTTCTGTCTACTGCTTGGAATTATAATGTATGTGCCCATCTTAACTAGAAGTCTTTGTACTTCTGATGAGACTTAAATTATTTGCTCCTTTAAAATAGTAACGGTATGTCTGACCACAGTCCTAAGACTGACCTCAGCCGTGTTTCATTTCTAGCGAGGCCGACAGCAGATGAACCTGATTTATATGCTTTGGGCGGGATTCATGTCCCCAGGTGCCCTCTTCCCACAGAAGCCATCTGCCTGCGGGTCTGACTGCTCTGTGTGTGGGGTGGGAAAGTGCAGACAAAAGCAGAGCCATAGCGCTGGGCGGCCCATGTTTACCTTGCAGGGTGTGAATCGTGACTCTTTTGTCTTGGCCTCCTCTGGGTTCGGATTTCTGCTTTCAAACCGTATTCTGAGGAGAAGGGAAGCAAAAGGCAGGCATTGTTTGTCCCCCCACATCAGCCAAAGCATCCTCAAGTTATAGGGGTGACAACAGGAAGAGCTAGAGCCCAGAGGCCTCAACCAAAGCAAAAGAAATTGATCATTCATTGAGCGCCTGCTCGATGGCAGGCCGGCGTGACCGGCCCTTCGCTTCCATGGTGCCATCCTGTAGCCGAGAAGGGAATCAGTACAGCGGGGTTGATTCTGCATGTGGGCGTCCGCCCCAGAAAGCCCACGTGCATGCCACTGAGTGAATGATGTCACCGGACGTGCATGTGTATGCTTCGGCTGCCTCAGGTGACGTCCGCTGTTCCTGTGGCCTTGGCTGGGATATTTCAGTTAGCTAGTGTGGCTGCCACAACAGATCCCCACAAACCAGGTGGCTGAAAATGACAGAAATGTATTCTCTCACGGTACAACAGTGCTAGAAGCCAGAAGTCCAAGTGAGGATGTGGGCAGGGCCGCGCTCCCTTCAAAAGGTTCTAGAAGATTCCTTCCTTGCCTCTTCCAAGCTTCTGGGTCCTGGGTGGTCCGTGGCTTGTGGCCGCATCGCTCTGGTCTTAACTTCTGTTCTCCACATGGCCTCTCCTGTGTGTGTCTGGGCCTTGGTGTCCTCGTCTTGGAAGGACAACAGCCATTGCATCAGAACCCACCNGCCGCATCGCTCTGATCTTAACTTCTGTTCTCCACATGGCCTCTCCTCTGTGTGTCTGGGCTTTGGTGTCCTCGTCTTGGAAGGACAACAGCCATTGCGTCAGAACCCACTTGGTCCACTGTGACCTGCCTTAACTTAATATATCTGCAAAGACCGTCTTCCCAAATCAGGCTACATTCTGAGATTCCAATGGACATGAATTTGGGGGGCACTATTCAGCCCCATACAGATGGGGGAACTGTTTTGTCTTCATTCCATTTTACCAGCCACCTGCCACGTACAAGGGTGTTTTAAGCCCCAAAGAATGGAGAGCACCCTTGACAGCTCCTAGACGCTCACAGGCTTCTCGGGAAAAGGTGACACTGACGGCTCTGCCACAAATGCTCTGTGTGGCCTCAGTTTCCCCACCCAGGGCGGCAGGGATTAGTCCATCTGACCTTGAAGGCCCTCCACATCCGAGTGCTTGTTGACTGTACAGGGTGGTAGGTACACATGGGCGCTGACCCTATGGGGTCCGTGTTAGTGTCCCCATTTTATAGGTGGGACCGGAGGGCTTAGAGAGGGATGCTCCTAAAGTCACACAGCTGTTAAGCAAGTGGCAGAATTGGGATTCAGATTCAGCTATGGGTTCAAGATGGCAGCGTCATTGCCGCATGTCCTTACCCCATCAGGGCCTCACTGTCCACCCCTGTGAGCTAATATCGGATGACAGGGGGCCCCATGTCTGGATCACTGCGAGGATGGGTGGGACAGGGATGCTCGGCCAGGTCCAGCGCAGAGGAGGCACCGCTGCTGGTGTGCAGCTGCCTCTAGCACCCTCCACCCCTGACTGGTCCTCTCTTCTCTCCCCAGTGCCCTCTGCCAGCATGACCCGCCTGATGCGGTCCCGCACGGCCTCGGGCTCCAGTGTCACATCCCTTGAGGGTGCCCGCAGCCGCTCGCACACCAGCGAGGGCACCCGCAGCCGCTCCCACACCAACGAGGGCACCCGCAGCCGCTCCCACACCAGCGAGGGCGCCCGCCTGGACATCACCCCCAACTCTGGTGCCACTGGGAACAGCGCCGGGCCCAAGTCCATGGAGGTGTCCTGCTAGGCGGCCTGCATGGACAGCCGCCCCTGGACTGTGGGTTCACTGTAGCTCCCCCCTCCTCCACCCCTTCCCGCCCCCTGCCTGCCACACCTCACGTAACTCGGTATTAATCCAAAGCTTATTTTGAAAGAGTGAGCTCTGGTGATGACAATGTTAGATGGGATTTGTCCAGGGCACCCCTTCCCAGGGCCAGGCAGGGTGCACCAAAGGAAAAGCTGCATCTCAGTGTCCCGTTTGCATTACCGAGTGGCCCGGTGGTCACTGTCTTCCCCTCCCTCAGAGACGCCCAGCTGCCCGAAACAAGAAACAGAGCAGTAAAAGCTTCATGAATCCAAGCCTGGGTCGACCTGGACACCTGGTTCTAAGGGGCATTTGTCAGGAGTCCAGCCCACCCGCTCTGTTTCCCCTCCAGCTAACGACAAACCGACCCAGTTTCTGGAAACAAAACCCTCTCTGGTTTGGGGAGGAGAGCGGCGAATCGAGGGCTGCTCATTGAGGCGAAACAGGAAGCGGGAAAAGAGGTGGAATTTACGTGGAGGTTTGAAGAGTTTGGAAAAGTAAATCTACGTAGTTAACTTGACATAGATTTTTAAAGTTTATGCACATATACACTTTTAAATGCCAAAGCATACAAGCCTGCTTTTCTGACATTTTTTTTAATGAACACAGAAGCAGGCAATAAAACCTCCTGGCTTTGCAACAACAACCACCACCAGTGGGCAAGCATTTGGTATCATGGGTGTAAGGCTTTGGCTCTGCTCTCTGCCTGTTCCCCCTCAGCCCCTGCTTCCACCCCAAATACATGACGAGCGGTTATTTCATTCATGGGGAAGGTCCTCTAAACACGTGGTTGCTTTCCTTCAGGAGGGGACCTTCCGAGCAGCTGCAGCTGGTTGCCATGCCTCTCCGTGCAGTGGGCAGAGGTGCTGGGGTAGGGTGGGGTTTGGGTACTAGATGTAAGTAAGAGATCCCTTGTGGTCGTGATGGAATCCAGTGTAGTTGTGATTTCAGTTGATCCCACCCTGGTTTCCAGGATTCTTATGCGATTGAGTTAAACCTTTGACAACTGGGGTTGCATCTGAGCTTGACGGCCCAAGGTTTCTGATCTAGTGACATTCCTGGGTCTTCAGACAGACCTCTTTGCTTTTGTACCAGGTCGGGGTTCAGCTGGGGAGTGGTGGCTGAGCAGACGTAAAGGTTCTAGAATGTGCATTCCATGGGATTTCCTTCCCTCTCCTGCCTCCCACTCCTCCCGCCCCTCTAACCTCCTTCCTCTGGACGGGGCGGCACCACTGACATTTTTAGGTGACGTCAAGTTCCTGTACTACTACTGCCTTTTGATTTTCGTTTCGGCTAACCATGGATCTTACAGAAAGTTTGATCAGAGTGAATGGGACGTTGTGAAACAGCCCCTGGGACCTCGTGGTTTCCGGGACCCTAGAGTTGATGGAATGACGTCATCAAGCCTTGCAGGTAGCTTGAGGGATGTTGATTCAGTTCACCTGCCACCTACCACCTGGGAGGCTTCCCCGACCTTGTGTGGAGGGTCAGGGGTCAGGGCAGGGGTGGCTGAATCCAGACAGAAAACTGTTGTGTACAAGTCTTTCCAGAGGAGTTTCTTAATGAGATATTTGTATTTATTTCCAGACCAATAAATTTGTAACTTTGCAGCGGCTTGTGTCCTTTCCCTCGACCTGAGAGCGCGTGCATGTGCCAGCATGGTGTAGGGGCGGGTCTCCCTTACCTGGAGCCTCCTGCCGCATGGCCCTCACCTTTCATTTAGACCATCACTCTCCAGTAAAAATAGAATGTAAGCTTCACGTGTTCCGGTGGCCACATTAAGAAAGAAACAGTAGAATTTAATTTTAATAATGCATTTCATTTAACCCAATGTATCCAAAATATTACCATTTCAGCATAGAATCAGTGTAAGTTATTCAGATATTTCACATTCTTTTTTTGTGTTGTTAATCTTCACCCAAGGATATATTTTTTCCATTGTTTTTTTAGAAAGAGTGGGAGGGAGGAGGGAGGAAGGGGGAGAGAGAGAGAAAGAAACATCAGTGTGAGAGAGACACGTAGATTGGTTGCCTCCCACATTCGCCCCAACTGGGACCAGAGCTCAAACCTGCAACCCAGGTAGGTGCCCTTGACTGAGAATCAAACCTGTGACCCAACCCTTGGGTGTGCAGCTCTAACCATTGAGCCACACAGGCCAGGGCCACATTACCTTTTCTATACTATGAGAACCAGTGTGTATTTCACATCACAGCAACCTCAAGCCACCATCCCGGGTCACATGCTCGGTGGCTTGGACAGCACAGTGACAATGGATAAAGCTTTTCCACCTATACTTTGAGGGAAACATCCTTTTATGTTTTATGTTTTATTTTTATTATAGAAATGTAGGCGGAAATACCACCCATTTCCTCACATCCAAGAACAACCATTGTAATGCTTGTTTCTACTGAAAAAAGAAAAAAAAAGTAAATATAACAGGTTTTAGTATGACCTCCCATTTTTATTCAAACAAATTCAGTTTAAAATTTACAAAACAGTTATGCAGATACTACAGTGAGTTCCCATATACCACACACCCAATTTCCCTTATTATAATTTTTAATTTTTAATTTATTTTTAATTGATTTGAGAGAGAGAGAGAGAAATATCAACTTGCATTTCATGCATTCATTGGGTGCTTCTTGTATATGCCCTGACTGGGGATTGAACCAGAAACCTTGGCATATTGGATGATGCTCTAACCAAATGAGACACTCAGCCAGTCGCCTTATTATTATTAATGTCATGTTATTATGGTACATCTGTCACAACTAAAAAATCAACACTGATACATTATTATTAACTAAGCTCCACACTTTACTGGGATTTCACTAATTTTTCCCTACTGTCCCTTTTCTGTCCCCGGATCCCTCCATGACACCCCAGTACATCTAGTCAAGTCTCCTCCACATCCCCTGGTCTATAAGAGTTTCTCACACTTGTTTTGGTGACCTTGACAGTTTTGAGAAGCTCTGGTCAGGCCTGTGCAGAATGTCCTTCAATGGAGGTTTGCGCGATGCTTTTCTAATGGTTCAATTCGGGTTTTGAGTCTTTGGAATGAAGACCATGGAGGTGAAGTGCCCTTCTCATGACGAGCCAGCGTAGTTTATCACTGATGAGCTTAACTGTGATCAGCTGGCTCTGGTAGCATTCGCCAGGTTTCTCCACTGTCCTTACCTTTTCCACTCCCCTTTCCAAGCAAGGCACCAATGCAACTCACACTTAAGACCCTCTCTCCCTTTAAACAGCTATCATGCTGTTATTTTTAAAATATCTTTATTGATTTTAGAGAGAGAGGAAGGAGGAGAGAGAGAGGAAGAGAGAAACAGTATGCACTCTGACCTGGGGTCGAACCTGAAACCTGGGTATGAGCCCTGACCGGGAATCGAACCAGAGACTTCAGTGCATGGCATGATGCTCAGCCAGCTGAACCAACCGGCCAGGGCTCTCCCGCTGTTATGTATATTGGTTTTTCCTCACTTACCTTGGAGAGTGTAATTAGCTGTAAAAGCGAAGTGGCAGCATGGTCATGGTGTGGAGACTGGGTGGGCTGCAGGTCTGGGCCCTGTGGTCCAGGCAGTAATCTGGAAAACGGGGGAGTTGGCTGGGCGCAGGGGTGAGACAGCATTGCTAGCTGCGGGGCCGGCACGCACACCGCGGAGGATGGGGGCCTGTGCATACGACAACGCTGTGGTAGACCTGGGCGGGTGACTGTGTGTGTGCTGTGCGTGGCAGGAAGCGGGGCAGGAAGAGATTTAGGTATCTAAAGTGAAATACCTAAGATTACAAAAGAAACCACTTACAGTTAAGTATAACTGCAATTGTGTGACAGAGCAACGCGTACTTCTTCATCAACAAATAGTAACAAGGAGACAGGGATCTGTAATTTCTAAGCGGTGATGAGCACAATATCTTGGATATCCAGCACAATTGTGCTAAGAAAAATAGATGTGCTTTCAGCTGGTGATATTCGGTTTTGTGCCTGTATTTAGACAGAGAAAACTGCTAAATTGCAATTAGAGGTTAATGAAAACAGATGCATTTTCTCCCATCCAAGCACTAGGCCTCTGAATTCTACCCATGGATTCTTGGTCCTGGGGCCCCAGGTTAAGAAGCCCTGCGCCAGGTGCAGGAGGGGGGCACGTAGGCTCATGCGGATTCAACATTCACAGTAAGCGCCCCTTCTGCGCCGGCTCCCGGACGAGAGCCAGAATAAAGGAAAGGCAGCGATGGAAAAGCCAGCGAGTATTCGGCAGAGCAGTGGCACAGGTCAGCCTTGGGGAGGGGGAGGAGGTGGCACAGAGACCCGCAGGACCTGCCACCATCAGCTCCCTGGAGCTCGGGCTTCCACCGAGGGGGTGAGCGACTGCAGGTGTTTGCTATTTAGAGACGATGTGCCTGGAGGCTGTTTTACCAGCTGGGGACCTAGTTTTGTGCTTCTAGCTGCTTGCTTTGGTTTCGGTGCCCCTGACAAGTGGGTCTCAGCAGAAGCTGGGAGACCAAGTGTGCACCAAGAACAACCACCTGCAGGATGTGTAGGCACAGCCGGGGCCTCCATCTGCACCTTCCTTGCTGCCCCTCCTCAGACACAGCCTCACAGTACGGAGCAGTTGGTGGGTTCCTAGGAGTAGCCTAAATCCGTCTGTCTTGGGCTTCCCAGGCTGCACGGAAACCCTTCAGCTGTGTCCCACATGGAACAAAAGGGCCGAGGTGAAGCCAGGCCTTATGTGGCTGCAGATGGGGTTAGGGAGGGGTCCTCCAGAGCAGATCAGCCTGCTTTCCAAGACCAGATTGCTCTGTGTCTCCAAAGCACAAAGCGGAGTCCTAACCTGAGGGCTACACGACCTTCAGTCCTTTGACCCAGAACCAATCAGGCGTTTGTGTCCTCTGCAGGGGACAAATCTAATGGCCCATTTGGGCTCAGGTGTCTCCTCACTGTACAATCAACTATGACTGGGTTCGCTCTACTCCTGCCCCCTGCCCCCCAGGCAGGCAACAGGGGCTCCCAGGAATGGATGTAGTTGGGGCAGGTCAATTGCTATGTCCTTTGCAGAATTCAATCCAGTGACAGCAAACTCACTGCTGCAGGACAGGCCTTCCTCACCCCTCCTCTGAGAAGCGTTTCCTGAATGCCTCTCCCTCCCAGGGAGCGCTGACCCGGGGACGGGGCCCCTGCCCAGGCGGCCGCAGGAGTACGCCTGGCGTTTATAGCCTGCGTCTCCTTCCCTTCCCTTTGCCCATCACTAGCATTCCTGTATCTCCAGGGCCTGCAGTGTCCAGCACATAACAAGAGGTTGTTGTTAAATGAATAAACACTTCCTCAGATAATAGTAATATTTCGCACGTGTTTTAGTTTCTTTCCCCCTTTTCTCTTTATCTGTGAGACTGAGTTATCCTTGCTCCACTGATAAAAAAATCCAAGGCTCGAGAGATTAAATGGCTTGTCGAGCCATTTCTAAAATAGCTTACATCCCTCCTGCCTTTCAAACAGTTCGTGAGCACATGACTAATGTAAGCATCTATTGACGTCTTGGGATCGTAGAACATCTGTTAGCTCTGGGACTAACACTGTGGGCGACCTTAAGGCTTCCATTGCCTGCAGGGATGCTTTCTCTCCCCTAAATAGCCCTGCCCGGATGTGACTGACTTGCTTTTACCATAGTTCCTACCTGATTCTCAATCCTTTTGTTTCCTCAGCTGGAGAGCTGAGATTTTCCCACTGTTATGGATAAACCTGCTTCTAGCAGCTTCCTCCCCCTTTTTATGGGATGGACTAAGAAATCCACTTTGTTAATATTGTGTGAAAGACAAGAGTGGTCAGGGTTAGCATGGAGGCCTGGAAACTTTTTACGGACTATAATCTATGAAACTGTCCATGGGCTTGGTACTGTCTTTCATCTCCTTAGAAATCATTTTTACTCAGTTCTACATCTGGACAGAAGCCAGGTTCACCTAGCACTTGGATCTCTAGAATACATCGGGTGCTTTTACATTTTTATTTTATCCAAGGGGGGTGGGGAGTGCACCAGGGGGTAGAGAACACTGGCATCTCTGCTATATATTTTTTAAACTTCAGAATAAAATGCTCTGGTTGTTTCATTCTGTCAAAGAACAAAATTCAACTGAGTAAATTTGAAGATCTAATTGGCTTTATGAAATGATTCCTGAATCAGGCAGCATCCCATCTAGTAAGTAGAAGGGTGCTCCAAGGAGTGGTACAAATGGAAGGTTTTTATAGGCAGAAAGGGGGTAGGACAAGAAAAGTTTTTTAAAAGTGGGTCATTTCAGGCAATATCACCTTCCCTTCGGGGAAGGGAGGGGGTCTTATCAGATGGATTGCCTCACTAGTGCTGACTAGGAAATTCCAGACTTCTTAATTTAAAATTCCACTCCTGGGAGAGGCTGACACTGCAGTTAGGTTAGGTATTAAGTCTAGATTGGGCTCAGCACAGGTGACTCCATTTCTTTTTAACACACCAAATCTCATTTTGCCAAAGCTTCAACCACCCGATCTCATCAGAAATGTCCCCCAACATCTACATGTTCATTCTAAGGCATCCACAGGACTCCACGATCTAAATTCCAATTTTGGAGGAAAGTATGCTTTAGGATAGAGGTGTTCTTGGAAACAATTTATGTGGCAATTGTTTTTTATTGGAATCCACTCTCCCCTTCATTTTTATTATAATAGCATAATGTGTTGTGAGGGGTAGTGGCGATGAGGATTTGACTGGGAGGTATCAGCTGTGTCATTCATTTCATTTACTCCAGCCACCTGCACACCTGGTCAGAGCTGGACCTGTGCTGGGTACTTCGCCAATTTGGGAGACACAGGAATTATGACACCCTTTCCCCATTAAAGAAGTTGGGTATTTAATCAAGTGACAGCCCAGCTGGAGTGGCTCAGCCATTGAGCACTGACCTGGGATCCAGGAGATCCGGGTTCAGTTCCCTGTCAGGGCTCATGCCCGGGTTTCCGGCTCGATCCCCAGCAGGGGACGTGCAGGAGGCAGCTTATCAATGACTCATCATTGATGTTTCTCTCTCTCCCTCTCCCTTCCTGTCAGAAATCAATAAAAACATATTTTTTAAAATGATAGCATCAAATGAAAACAGAAAAATCAAAAGTTAAGGGATCAGGCAGCATATGATTGAAGCAGAAAAGCATTTGACTGAATATCGGTGACCTCTGCTTCATATTTGCTATTTTGAAATAAAAACTAAATAAGTAAACTGTGCAGACGTGCACCGACTCCGGTTCTCACTGTAGCCTTGCGGAGTCTGCCCCGTGCGCGAGGAAACGGAGACCAGCTGATGGCAGACGGGTTTTTGATGTGCTCACCAAGCTCCAGGCTGAAACTTCTCATGCATCTTGCATCTTGATCCTGCATCACCACCACAAGCAAGCACGATCATTTCCTACCCTTCCCAGCTGAGGACACTGCGGCTTAGGTGAATGAAGTGAGGAATCCCAGTAAGAAATAAAGTGTATAAAGATCTATTTGACTCCAAAGTCAGAACTATGTTCATTGTATCATGCAACCTCCCTGACTCTTCTCCTTAACGCCCCTGGGTTCCTAAGGCACTTGGCAGTAGATGCTCCATCCATCCATCTCTCCAGCCAACTGCTCACCCAGTTCCCAACGGGTGCCAGGTGCTGTGCTTGGCTCAGAGGATGCAGTCATAGTCCCTGATCTCAAAGTACCCAAGTCTAGGTGGGGATATAGAAAAGTGCTGAAGAAATGAGTGACTGAGTGAACGAATGAATGCTGACATTTCCATTTTATATTTACGTGAGGTGTCTTCCAGCCTATGAAACATCTGTGCCGCTGGTCTTTTCTGATTGCCAGAATTCCTGTTTCTACGTGCACATCCAAATTTAGCTACTTTTATTACCATATATAAAATAGCTGGGACCTAATTTCCACCATCTGCACTTCTATGGAATGTGTTCGATGCTGCGTATTGCCTCATAATAACTGAATACACAAGAACACCACCAAATCCAGTAAGTCACTTTGCTGATGATTTATTGCTTTAAGGAGAAAAGCTATAAACAGGGAATTTGAGCAATGAAAACCCTTCACGTTGAACAAACACATTTACACAACACAAGTCACGAGAAAAATGAGGAATGCTAGGAAACACGACGGATGGCCCAAAGGCCATGTTCCCTCTGTTGGGAAATTCCAGGACATTTTTCTGTACATATTTTTTAGTCACTTACAAAAACGGCAGGAGGGATACTTAAATATTAAGTCACAGTTTGAAAATAGAAATATACAAACAGATACACATACACATACATGTGGATGTGCAGAGACACACAATTGATCCTTCTGACCATTCACGGGTCCCAGCTGGGCAGAGTTATCGTTGCAGTTACTTTGGATCAAGATAAGTCCTTCAAAAGCAATGATCTAATTCAATAAAACAGTCCCAGACCACATTACTTCCCCACAAGCCCTCGGTAGACGCAGCGCCATGCCAATGAGGTCGTAGGCAATTATGCCATCAGAGTGCACTTCCTGTGATCACTCTTCGAATAGCTCGGTTAAAATTGCAGCTGTTGTCAGGAAAGCAATCTCTTGTACCTTATGATGTGGGGCAGCCGGCTAACTGGCCTTAGCGTCAGGAGAGATGGCTCAGGCGTCAGCTTAACCTTGGTTTGCGATCCTGTCCTCCTTTCAGCAGCTGGTGAGACACTGAGCGAACGACTGAACCTCTATGAACCTCAGCTGCCTTATCTCTAAAATGGGGAGATAACAAGGCCTCCTCGTAAATAAGGCACCCAGCACAGGCCTGGCAGCAGTGGGGTTCACCACATGCTTGCAGTAAGGTTTAGCAAGAATGGGAGGTTTGGCAAAATGGGTCCCGCCCCCCC